AAAACACTAAAGTTGATGTTAGTTAAACCCATTGTAATGATTGGTGAAGTTGATGAAATTATCCTTTCATTATCATATTTCATGTTTTACCATTGAACCATTACCTGCTTTTCCTATAAATGTTGTGCTAAATTGTATAGTAACACACACACATACACATATATATACATATACTTATGAATGTATATATAAGAAAATATACAATATAATGTAAAAAGTACAAGTAAATTGATTTCTCAAATACTATTTATTATACATTCACAGCAATAACAACTAGAGGTTTATTTCTCTTTAGGTTGTATTAAAGCATTTGATAATGTATTAACAATAATCCAAAAGCTACAGCCTGAGGAATCTGATAATACATTAATAATACTCAAGGGGCTACAGCATAAGGGATCTGTCTTTGGATATGTTTTTGGCATATTTTAAGACACAAAAGTTTTTCTTTTTTCATACCTTGTAGATATCAGATCTGAAGAAAAAAATGTATGATGATTCTTGTTAAATCATTAAAAGTATTGAAATGATTAGTGGTTGATTTTGTTTTAGATTTTTTAAGAGATATTCTCTCAGAAATTGCATAGTTATAATTCAGATGTGTTTCTGATACAGTTTGGTGATTAGATTTCAGAAATCATTGCCATTTTTATGACTGATGTTTTTTCTGTGATTTAAAAATTTCAGTTTTAGTTCTTATGTGGAAAGCTAAAAGTAATGGATGAAGATCAATTGGTTTTGGTCAGGTGGGCCCCTTGACCTGTACAAATGTAATCATTCCTTGTCTCATCTTCTCTCCTTTTTGAAATCAGGACAAACTCAAGAAGGAAAGTAGGGCAAGGGAAGGTGGAATGTGGTGGGTTAGTGCCAATAATACTTAAAGAAAAAATGATAATAAGTGTAAATATTACTTTGTAGGAAGACACACACACACACACACACACACACACACACACACACACACACACACACACACACACACACACACACACACACACACACACACACACACACATGCAAACGCACACATGTACACACACACACACACACACACACACACACACACACACACACACACACACACACACACACACACACACACACACACACACACACACACACACACATGCAAACGCACACATGTACACACACACACACACACACACACACACACACACACACACACACACACACACACACACACACACACACACACACACACACACACATATATAGACAGTGTTTACATGATGGTAGCTGTATTGTGGAATAATTGATGAACTGTACAAGTATAATACTTTAAGGGTGATTATTTTTAAAATGTATAACTATATTTAATTTTTTATTGACTGGTAACCATAACTATGATGTAATTTTTATATACAGATAGACTTGTGGATGTAGGTCTGATTGTCTCGTGCTATTGTCACGCATTGATATTCCATGAACCATACCTCATTTCCTTCTATGATTACCTTTCTTAGTTTTAAAAACTTTCAGGAATTCATCAGATCAACATATTAGTTAAGATTATGTAACTGGTATAAATGCAGAACAAAATAAAACCTTTTTTTTTTTACATTAACCCCTTTGTGGCAGTTGATTTGATATTACATTTACATAAGTGAAGGCAGCTTACAAAATGCATGTTTTCAGTTTCATGGGCATGTCTACATGCCTGGGTGGGAAATAAATAACCAGAAATTAATAATTAGTAATTTGATTAGTAGGACTACTGACCTGCACTTAATAAAATAATAATAATAATAAAATTACCTTTTAACCATGGATCCTTTATGGCCAGTCACAATTTCTTGTAACTTAAATTCTAACCAATGTTTTTGTTCTTTATTTACCATTACTAACTATGTATTGTAAATATTCCTGTTTGTCAGAGTGGTTCTGTACATTGTATTCTGCTGCAGAGGATTTAAAGGAAAGCCTGAATATAAATTGGCTATAATACAGACTAATAGGTTATATTGTTGGCATGTTCATTTATTGTGAATTTAAATATCTAGGGAACAATTAGAACAGCAAAATACCTTGATTAAAAAAATGATTGCATACATTATAACAGCTTGTTTGATGAAAACTGAAGTTAAGTGTATTCTTTTTGCTAGTTTTGTGCTCTAGACCATACTAGGTTACTGCTTGTCAGCTAACTGTGTGATGAATATTTTGCTGTAATTAGACTTATAAAATAGTTATTGCAGAGATGTATGCAATTTTAAACATGAGCAATGCTAATAAGTATGATGTGGTTAGTTCATTTGCTGGATCAATGGATTCATAAAAGGTTCATTTAGGGAAAATAGTTTTCAGTGAATGCCTTGCTTTTTATTGGGTGTCTAGGAAGGTTCTATGATGTCACTAAGAGGTTGGCACAGGTATACTAAAACTTTTTTAGCTGGAAGTGTAAAATGGGAAATAAAAAATCAAATTCCTGCTCCGGGTAGAAACAAACAGAAAAATAATATTAGGATGTAGCACTAGTTTCAGGTAGGGCATGCATCAATGTGTAATAATATATCCTGTTTTCTGATAGATTTGGTAATGGATTATGGGCAAGGAATGTATTTTAAATCAGTTTTACCTTACATAGATATAAATTTATAACAGGTATTTCAAATATTCATTAAAAGTCTTTCATAGGATTTTCATAGTATCTTGTATTCATCAGCAGTAGTTTGAAGTGTTTGTAGTTTACGTAAAATAAGCTCTTTATTTACATAATTTTCATTATTTTTCTCTAACATTGCATATAAAATAAGGTGTTTTAGAATTAAATAATTTGTATGATCTGTAGTAATATTTTAATGTATGGTATGATTTACAAAATATTGTTTGCCTCACTTTCATGAACATTTTCATATGTCAAAATAATTACTTATTGTTTTATATTTTTTGTTAATTTTACATTCTAATAAATGTTTTTTTTTCACATATTAACAAGCCTTTTATGTTGATATTGGAAGTTCTATAAAGTGTTTTATGGGCATGTCTAGCTTACAGGGGTACAGTTGGTTGAAACATGTGTCCAATAAATGGCAACACAATGTAATTGCACAATCCAGGACTGCCAAGTTGTGGCTTATGCAAATCAGTAGAATCTGTTATAGAAAAGGCAAAGGTGCACATGGCCCTGCATAGTAGTTTACCAACAAGGACCCTGAGAATAGAAGACAAATGAAACAATACCCTCCCACCCCCTTTGCCTTAGCTTCTATGATAGATTGATCAATATCCAAAATATTAAGCACCTTAATTTTTATCTAGATCTTACATTGTTTGGAAATGAAAAAAGGGCTTGAATCCTAAAATTGATGCTAAAAATATACGGTCATAATTAGCTTAGTGAGGCTGTAGGGCATGCATCAATGTGTAATAATATATCCTGTTTTCTGATAGATTTGGTAATGGATTATGGGCAAGGAATGTATTTTAAATCAGTTTTACCTCACATAGATATAAATTTATAATAGGTATTTCAAATATTCATTAAAAGTCTTTCATAGGATTTTCATAGTATCTTGTATTCATCAGCAGTAGTTTGAAGTGTTTGTAGTTTACGTAAAATAAGCTCTTTATTTACATAATTTTCATTATTTTTCTCTAACATTGCATATAAAATAAGGTGTTTTAGAATTAAATAATTTGTATGATCTGTAGTAATATTTTAATGTATGGTATGATTTACAAAATATTGTTTGCCTCACTTTCATGAACATTTTCATATGTCAAAATAATTACTTATTGTTTTATATTTTTTGTTAATTTTACATTCTAATAAATGTTTTTTTTTCACATATTAACAAGCCTTTTATGTTGATATTGGAAGTTCTATAAAGTGTTTTATGGGCATGTCTAGCTTACAGGGGTACAGTTAGTTGAAACATGTGTCCAATAAATGGCAACACAATGTGATTGCACAATCCAGGACTGCCAAGTTGTGGCTTATGCAAATCAGTAGAATCTGTTATAGAAAAGGCAAAGGTGCACATGGCCCTGCACAGTAGTTTACCAACAAGGACCCTAAGAATAGAAGACAAATGAAACAATACCCTCCCACCCCCTTTGCCGTAGCTTCTATGATAGATTGATCAATATCCAAAATATTAAGCACCTTAATTTTTATCCTAGATCTTACATTGTTTGGAAATGAAAAAAGGCTTGAATCCTAAAATTGAATGATAAAAAATATACGGTCATAACTTGTACTTATAGCATAATATGTTGTATTTTATTACTGTCATTAAAATAATGGTATTTGTAATTGTGTAATTTTTCCCCAGATTCTGTGAAAATTTGGTGATACTTTCTTAATGATTATTGTACATAATTATGTGTAAATTGGCCCACTGACATAAATATGAACATTAATAGTGATCTGGATGTTATGAAAAGATGAAATTGTATTTGTAAGACATATGAAGAGGTCAAGAAAACCAAATGCTTTAATGATCATGAAAGTGTTTTGGAGTATAGCTGTATGTTACGTTTTAAATGACTCATTAGTAAATTTGCTACCATCATCTGGTTTTATAATTGAATGGAGCTTAGTGGAATTAACTTTATCTGCATTTTAAAGGACCGGGAGCCATGGTCACTCCTGAGTACAAGAAGGTCAAGACAAAATATGAACATTTATTTTGTTGGTATACAATAACTGTAGCTGCATCTTAGATTTCTATAATGAAGTCTGAAAACAGAAAAATATAAATTAAACATTAAGAGTTCATTTAAAGTAAATTTGCATTGATAATAAGGGATAAAATAAATATATAATGATGAGTATTTTCTAAAAGAGAACTAACCGAAATGCTCAAGTCTCCCATCCAATAATAGAAAGTTAAATGAAGAATAAGAAGAGTAGCCATCTTTTAGGGGAAAACTCAATTAAACAACTGTAAACCGAGAACTGTGTGTTATACAATAATGCTGTAAGAGATACCTCAAGCATAATGATCTGTTCATGGGCGTCTGAGGAAGTATGACTCGAAGTAAGTAAAATTTTTAACCTGAGAAAAATATGATGCAAATTTTAGTGGCCTTTACTGTACTTTTGGTGTCCCTCTGGTGGGTAGCCTGGGACTGATGGTGTTTAATTTGTCTTTCTATTTTTTGTTGCATGATTTTCTAGCAATGTTGATATATTTGATGATAATTCATACCCCCGAAAAAAGACGAGAACTGAACATCCGGTAGCACATGATTAATTTGGCCTGTGCCTAAAAGTGATTATTTTTATAGGCGATCAATAAAGGAAAATGACCAAGGCGTCTGTACAACTAGCGTATTTGTACAAATGCCATAGGTAAATGCGTAGTCATAGCGTGGGGTGTCATTTGTTTAATAGTCTGACATTAGCTGTTTCACTATCAATTAAATACTCTATTAGCAATTATTATTTTACATTTTATTATTGCTTGGAATAAAATCAAGATAAATGAATTGCTTCCGAGAGAGAAAATTTTAATGAGAAATGTGTGCATTAATATTTTCACATTTGTGATTCGCCATATTATTTCTACCAAGTTGAGACCTTAACAATCATTTTTCTGAACCCATTATGTCTAGTTTTGAAGATAAAGTTTAGAAAATTGAAACAAAAAGGCGAAAAGTAGGTGTCTCTCTGGCTTACCCAGTCGTAAATTTGACCGATATGTATGGGAATGGATATGTAGTACCCGAGACATTTTTTTCGATCGTGTATTCGTGATGTAGCTCTCCAAAATTGTTAATTTTGGGAGAGATATTCAAGAATTAAGAAGTGGCTCCTATATGTTCCGATCACTCTTCTGAGTAACTTCTAACAAATAACAGGAACCTGAGCAAAATTAAAGTAATATTGTACTCGTATCTGTGTCATTTCTCATTTACATCGATTATTAAAAACTTTTTTCCTGTGAAAATATATCCGTCTACAGATTGGTTCATAGACCTGAAGTATCCATATCGTATATTCACTGATACATTGCACTAGTAAAAACTATACCTATAAAAACTATATAATTGTATTCCTGTTGGTGGGCCTAGTCCCATTTTATTAAGAGGGACGGTGGTCGGGACCAAGGTCTAGGTCTCGTCAATTTGCCATTGTGCAGAACGAAATCCGGACGGCTTCAAGACCGAGGACGACTTCGACGCGGACTTGTCTCTGCGGTCCATGGTACCCGTCGGTCCACAGTCTGTTTGAGGGAATTTTGATATCAGCGTTTCCCTTTGGGTGAGTTGTTAAGCTACGACAGGCCTTGCTTCACTCAAATATTCATCTGAATGTGCGGGAACTGTATATATACAAAGTATGTGCCGTGAGATGGACTTCATGGCCATGTAATCGTGAGCATACCTTGGTCGTGAGCTCGGCCAGGTGGGACGAATGCACGGGCAAGCAACTGCCAGATGTGCAGAGCAAAAGCAGGATCTCTCTTGTACTTTTGTCGCCAGACCCAGTACCTGAAATCGTCTCTGTGCTGACTGACCAACAAGATGGTAATAGTAGCCACTGGCATGAGTTTGAAGGAAATGGGAAGTGAAGGCAGCATTTGCTTATTTCTTAAAATATGTTATCAGAAATGAGGTTGTGTACTTCGTTAAGCATTTTGTTGTACAATTCTTGACTTTTGCCGGGTAAGAGAGCATAAGCACATATGTAGGACACGCCGTCGGCGAATCAGTGTTCTGCACAAGCTAGGAACCGAAGGTCTTAATCGGCAGTGAAGATGACTATTCTGCATCATACTGCAGAAAGGATTCGCCAGATAGGATTCTGCAGTGACTGTTGACTCTGGCGGCGAAGTCCTTGTCTTCGCACTTCCTGTTTAACTTTCCCTTCACCTCTTTATCTATAATGAAAAATGTGCCGCCCTTCAATTAGGTTCTGCTTTCCTCTATAAACTGGTATGGATTTGGCAATCTTCATAGGGCAGAGAAGGAAAATCATGAGGCAAGTTCTCCTGTGTTGAAACATAAAGTTCGGGGTAATTAGGCAGTGGAAGCTCTAGTGTGTATTGCTCCATTGAGTTGAATAACACTGTCAATAATTCATAGCAAGACCGGATGGTACACTTCACACCTCCGTCCAAGACGTTGGCCTTCTCTTTGAGCAGGACGCAGATGTCGCCCGGCTTTCTCTTTTCACACAGGAATAAACATCCGCCCTCGAAGGGAACCGCCGCATTAAAAGGGCACGTGCGTAAGACGAAGGGTGAGACAGGCCAATCCACACAGGGTCCAGCTCCACCACCTCGTCCTCCACCCGGGGACACGGGGGTCTCTTGGGGAGCCTCATATCTATCTTCAACAATAAACTTGCAAGCTAAGATCCCTTTCATTGACCGCCCAAGACCATCTCTCTTACGCTTACATCTGGTCGCTTGCGGTGGTCACTCGTTACAAACACAGACAAGCATTGGCTTACAAACGGCATGATGAAGGCACACGGTAAGCACCTTGTCGATTTTTTTCATTCTTATTCCTATTCCTATTGTCATTATC